TCCCCCTCCGATGACGGGGACGGCAGCATGTCCTTTGACGACTTCCTTGATATGCTGAGCGTCTTCAGCGACGCCGCCACCTTGCCCATCAAGTCTCACTACGCCTTCCGCATCTTCGGTGAGGCTGGGGGGGGGGGCCCTGTCCTGGGGTCCCCGCACCTGGGGCGGGCAGGGATGAATCCGTGTTCAGGAGGGCTGGCAGCGTCCTCAGAGCGCCCACGGGGAGGGCAGCTTTAGGAACTCCCCGTGGGAAGTGCTGATTTGGCACCGAGGGGTGCGGCATGGAGCCTGCCATGTCCTCCGGTCACCCAGGCCCTCTCCTCGCTGAGCGCGGCCGCTCGTGACTCTCTGGGGTCGTGGTGGCCCTGCCGAAACTGAACTGTCCTCTCCCTAAAGACTTTGATGCCGACGGGACGCTGGACAGAAAGGACCTGGAGAAACTGGTGAACTGTCTGACGGGGCAAGGCGAGGAGTCCCGGCTGAGCCACGAGGACATGGAGCAGCTCATCCAAAACGTGAGGACTGCCAGGCGGGGCACAGGCCGCTGCACGGCCCCGGCCACGCAGAGCTCACCGCTCGCCTTTCCCTCCCCTCTAGATCCTGGAGGAGTCCGACATCGACAAGGATGGAACCATCAACCTCTCCGAGTTCCAGCACGTCGTCGCCCGCTCCCCGGACTTCGCCAGGTAGGGTGAGCTCCAGCGGCACAGCTGGTCTTGGGGGGCCTGTTTGGGGGGTCGCCCACCCTGATGGCAGTGCTGGCGTTGGGGCAGAGCTCTCGGTGGCAGCAAGACAAGGCCACGAGGCCTCCCATGACAGCAGAGGGAACCGCACCCTGTCGCAAACTGCTTGCGTGTGGCCGGCGCGGCGGTGCGCAACCTGTCGTGTCTCTTGCAGCTCCTTCAAGATAGTCCTGTGAGAGCCCTGCCCCTCTGCAGCAGAACTGCTCCGCCGGCTCTTGCAGCTCTTTGCGGTCCCAGACGCTTCCCCTTCCAGCCAGCGGAGCGGCAGGGGCCCCGCTCCTCACCAGTGCCACACGTGCCTTGGGCAGGACCCGCTCCTGCCCCCCTGTCCCCGGCAAGGTGGCAGGTCTCTGCCCTTGCCTGCAGCCGCTCTGCTCTCCCAGGGCCAGATT